ACCTCCCTCCCTCCTTCCCTCCTTCCCTCCCTCCTCCCTCCTACCAGTGCTTTATCCTCTTCCTGAGGGCACAGTGGCTGGGGCCACCCCAGGCGCCAGCCTCCCTCCCTCCCTCCCTCCCTCCGAGACCTCCCCAGCTCTCTGCCCTGAGGTCCCACTTAGATTGGCCTGAGGCCACCCTGGGGTCAGGAGTCCCCTTGAGCTCCCTACAGCCAGGGCCATGAGGGCAGCCCTGCTCCTCCGGGTGCAGACCCGTGGCTCAGAGCCGGCCTTAGGGTGGCCCTGGGCGTCGTACACCCTGTCATCAGAAGCACGCACGTGGCCTCACCCTCCGTGCCTCTCGCTCCCCTGGAAGTGCTCCGGGGCAGATGGTGCAAAGGTCAGGCTCTGGCTTCACCCTGAGCCGGGCAGCACCGGGGGTGCTGGTGTCAAACGTGCGGGACCATGGAGCACACATGCGTGAGTGGTGCACGCCCACCAGACCCCCTCCCATCCCCCCACCTTTGTTTCTCTGGCTGGAAGGGCCTGGAGGGGTGGGGCGGAAGTGGCCTTCCTTCCCCCATGGGCACAGGCCCTGTTGGGGGCTCGCTGACCTTTAGGTGAGGTAGGGAAGGGGGTTCAGTCCACTCAGGGGAGGGCCCGCAGCCAGGTTGGTGTGTTCTGCTCCACCGGCCCCCTCCCCACACAGGAAGGGAAGAGTATTCCAGAGCCCGCGGCTGCAGAGTCGGGTTCACTGGTGTCCGGCATGGGGGGCGCCCACTTCCTCAGCCACGGCCTCCTGGGAGCCTCCAGGCCACAGGCCACTAGGGAGGCAGGAGCACAGACTGTAGCCAGAGCAGAAGTCTTCCACCAGTTGCCCCCATTCCATCTCTGCTGAATTATAAATTGCACATTTGCCAGCAGTTACATTTTCATGGGCCCTTTCACTGTGTATGAAATCTCTACAGCCCCTAAGGAGCTTCTCTCCTCGTTTTTGCAGGGTTCTGCTTGTTCTCTCCCTGTTCTGAGCGACACGTCACTCTGCACAGGTTCTGTGACCCCCAGACCCATGCAGGCAGTCTCCTCGGACCCCAGAACCCACTGGAACAACTGCTGGGATCCTCCCTTCCTGTCCGCCTGCCCTGCTGGCCGCAGCCAGGCCAGCTGTGTGTGGCACCCCCAGCCCAGAACCCTCGGAGCCTACTGGGAATGTCCCCTGATTCTGCAGGCCCAGCTGCCACAGGGGGTCCTCCGTGCCATCTCCCCACCCGAGCTGGGTCCAGGGCCTACCCCTCACTACTCGGGCCAGTGGTGCCGCACCAGTGGATGGCTGCTGTCTCTTCTGGATCACCCACAGCCCAGGGCACTGCCTGGGCAGGAGAAGAGGAGGCAGGCCTGTCCCCTCCCTTGATGCCCTCCACTCAGACGGCTGCCTAGGGTCTGGGCCCCGGTCCACACACCCCGGGGCGTATAACTTTCAGTGTAGCCTCAGTGTGGCCCAATATTTTGTGCAGGAAAGTTAAAAAATCTAACTGCAGTCTTTCAATTTTCCCTTTTATAATAAAACAAACTAACTGTCAGGGAGAAGGACACCAACTTTGCAAGAGTCTCAAGGTGCACACGAGACTTTGAGGAAATGCCTTGTTCGTGGCACCTCACCTCTGTCCTTTAGGGTGAAAAAAGTTTGGGGAGTCAAGTCCCAAGGTCCAGCTCAAATAGCATGGGGTCCCCAGAAGGCGTGGCAACCAGTTGAGGTCCCTGCCTGTGCCAGGCGAGGGCGTGGGGCCCTCTGTGGAGAACAGGGGGCCCAGCTGGCCTCCTGCTTGGATGTACAGACCTGTCACCTCCAACAGACACTGTGCAGCCATTGCCCTGTGGCGGCTACGGCCCCTTGCAGCACGGCCGGTGCTCAGGGTGCTCGGCTGTCAGGGGCCCTCTGCCAGTCCCTGCTGGGGGAGGCTGGCCCGAGGGGTAGGAGGACCTCAGAGGTGTCGCTTCCTGCTCCAGGGGTGACAGGGAGATCAGTCGGCTTCCCCTGCAAGACGTAGGAAGCCACCCTCTGATTATGCGCTGAAATGCCTTTGCTGTCACCTGGAGATAAGTCTGGTCATGTTTGGGGGGTCCGAGCACAGCGCAGCCCCCCGCAGCCCCCCGCAGCCCCCCGCAGCCCCCCTGAACGGGATCTGGGGCAGAGAGTGGGCACAGACCCCCGTTGCCTGGGCACCACAGCGACCTCTGGAGCTGGGACCGCACTTTAGAAAGAGCCCAGGATCCAGGACAAGTTTCACAAAGCAGCGCTCACTGTGCTAGGAAAACCCCACTCAGATACCTCCTCTTCCAGCTTCAGATGCTTGTCTCAACCCACGGATACATTTCAGAGACTTGAATGACGTGGGAGTCCAGGCCCTGGGAGACACCCTAAGTTCCTCTGCACTGCTGTCCACGCTCATGCCCCCTTTCTAGACCATCACCTCCCGCAGATCTCCTCCATCAGGACACTCTGCTGAGGTTCAAAACCCTATCCCAGCTCCCACCTGCTGAGACCCCATCCCAGCCCTCATTCCGCTCTGAGACCCCTGGCCCCAGGGGCACTGGCCTGCTGGCACTGAGCCGCCGAAGCCTACGCAGGTGCTACCTGATGGGGGTGGTGGGGAAGCAGGGCTGAGGTGAGCCGGTCCCGCTGACTGTACGCCTCCTTCAAGCCGGCAGGCGGTGGGCAGGCTGATGACAGCACAGTTGGGGTGACATGGCTCCCCACCACCTGCACCAGCCCCACCCCAGGGCTGCCTGGGGGAGTTTCTGGGAGAGGAAGTGGGGTGCCAGGGGCCGCCTGTGTCAACACCTCCAGAGGAGCGGTGTGCTTGCTAAGACAGCACCCGCTCTGGAGACGGCCCGAGCTAGCGAGTCCAGACCACCCGGCGGCGCGGAGGCATCCTCTCTCCCATCGTCTCTGGCCTCTCTGGATGGCGCTGAGCCTTTCCCAGGGCTGAGCCCCGTGGCTGCGGTCGGTGCCTGCACCCCACCCCGGCACGCTGGCGGGAAGGCCCTGCACCTTCGCACGCACCACACCCACGCTGACGCTGACGGGGTGACCGCGGACACACGGGGGCTTCCTGCAGCTCTGCTCCAGCCGCAGGCTCGTCCCTCCCCTCCACCAGCTGCACCTCGTCACACCCACCTCCTGAGGGGCCTTCTTTCCAGACCGTCCCTTCCCCTGGTCTAGAGTGTTCTCCCCCGCCCCGCTCCGCCAGGCCCTCCCGGGGCGTTCTCTTCTCCCCGCTCTGAGCTCAGGGCTGGGACACCCTGCTCAAAGGGCTACTCCCGCCCCCTGCAGAGCCCACCTCCGGGTACGCAGCCCTCCGCCTGGGTCCCGCAGCACCTGGCCTCAGCACCTCTCTCTGCACAGACTGCCAGGGGCTGGGAGAGCTCCGACCCCAGCCCTGCCCATCTCCACAGGTGGAAACTGAGGCCCGAGAAGGGGAGTGGCTGGCCCAGGCCTCCTAAGCCTGCAGAGACCCTGCCCAGAGGCCCCTGAGGAGGGCCCGGGCTCCACCCTCCAGACCCAGGCCTGAGGGTCCTGCCGTGGGCTCCTCCCCTGCCTTGCCTGCTCTATGCCCGTCCCCCGACCCCCAGTCTCCCCAGCCTCCTCCCCCGGCCCCTCCCTAGCCCCCCACCCTGCCTGGCGTCCTCCACAGGGCTTCCCCTGAATGTCTACCGTGTCCTTGTTCTGGGACCCCCACCCACTCTCGCGCATAGTAGGGCCTCAACAAATCCCGTTCACCGGTCAGCAGGGGCCCCAACCGGAGAATCCAACCGGGTGGCCAGCGCCAAGGAACAAGCAGATTCTTGGCCCATAGCGGGCGCGCTGTAAACAGGAGGGGACGCAGGCTCAGAACCCTGTCGGCCTGGAGTGGGATGGAGCGTCTCTCCCCACCTCCCTGCCCCACGGCCCTTCCCTCTACCGGCCCTTCGGCCAGCTCCCTCCCAGTGGAGGGAGCTGGGGCTGCTCAGGGGAGGGCCGGGTCCTTTCCTCAAGTCCCACTGGATCCCCGGGGCTCCGAGAGGCCTGGCCCATTCTCACTGCCGGCTGGTCTCAAAACCATAAAGCACCCTCCTCAGAGAAGGACCGGAAAGAACCCCGCTGCTGGCACCCACCCTGGAGCCCCCAGAGCCTCGGTGCTCAGGCTCAGACAGAGCCCCCCGCGCCTCGTCCCAGCACCCTCCTCTCCGGCTTTGCACCTGCTAGGGAGCCCACGTGGCAGGCCCGTGGGTGGTGGCGGTCCAGGCGCATGTCTGAAGGAGGGTCTCTCCTGCCCCTTCCTCCCGGCCCCCCACCCCTCCGAACGTTTAGGGTTTGAGAGAAAAAAGCTGCTGGCAACAGCTGCAGCTGGGAGATATGCATCACTACCCTATCTAGGTGAGCCTTCCTTCGAGGGAAGTGCCCCCCGGAGGCGGAGTCACTCCAGCATAGGCTCTGGACGTGGCCCAGGGCCCCTACCGCACCGCCACCCGGGAACCTCACTGCTTCCGGGGCCCCAGCTTCCTCACCTCGGGTGGCAGCGGGGCCCCTGCCGTCAGGGTCAAGGAGGGGACAAAGCCCTGAGAGTGGGGGATTCAGGACCCTGGCCGAGAAAGAGGACGAAGGACCCTGAGGACACCCAGGTGGGGTGTCCTGAGCCGGGCAGTGTGGCCCCTGGCCAAGGGCCTTGACCCACCCAGGCTGTCCTCCCCAGGCTACATACACTCTGTGTCCACTCCGACCTCACTCTACACTACGGTCTGCCCCTCTTCTGTGCCCACCCTCGCCGCCCCACGCGTGGGCAAACGTGCTGGACATGGCTGGCGGGGGGCGGGGGCGGGGGCCATGGACCAGGTGGGCGTACCCAGCACGGGGGCAGCGTGCAGTCATATCGCGAGGCTTCACAGAGGGCAGGTCAGGACCTGGAGGCTTCTTGAAGGAGGAGGCCCTGGAGCTGGACCTGGGAGGTGGGAGGAGCGGAGAGGGGGAGGGGCTTCCTGGAAGATGGAAGCGCGACACCTGCCTTGGCACCGGGACAGAAGGCTGGAGATGAGCCACAACCTCTCTCGCACGATCCCCAGCACAGCTGGGCGGACGGGGCAGCTGGACTGCCCGCAGGGAGATGTGGCCGTTGGCGCAGGCGGAGGGGGACCCCGCGCAGCAGGCACCTCCAGAGCCTGACGGGCCCGTGGAGGCTGGTTTTCCATCGCGCCTCTCGGCCTGAGGCAAAGGAATGCCGGTCCCACCACCCTGCCTTTAATCTAGTATACGCTGACTCTCTGTTCTCGTGGATTCTGCATTATCTCTGATGTATTGAAATATTGCACCGAAGGACAGTTTATCTTGATTACTGACTTCTGCGGGGCCTCATAGATGTGCCGAGGCCGAGGCCTCACTTGCCTCACCCTGGCCCAGGCGCCTGGCCGGGATGGCGTGGACCTGTGGGCCCGTGGGCCCTGGGCTCAGCCTTGGGCCTGGCATCCCTGCGAAGCTGAGAGAGGAGGCGTGGACTTCTGTCACTGCGGGCACTTTCTGTTCCCCTCTTCTCGGAAACCAGGCCTAGGAAACATCCCTCCCGCCTCCCGCTGGTTTGGCCAAAAGCCAGCCTGGGGGCCCTGTCATCTGCCCCTGCTGTCACCGTAGTGGGGCAAGGCGGGGGTGACTGCAGGACGCCACGCGGGGAGTGGAGGAGGATGGGGGCACACCCCTCAGGAAACTGCGGGCGATGGGGACACGGCTCGGGGGAGGAAGAGGATCCCCCTTGCCCTCCTCCCGCTGGCCGGCAGCCCTGCCCTGGGCCGCCCGCTCTTCCTCGCAGTCCCTTCAGCCTTGTCCCGGGTCCTCACGTCAGCTACTCGAGCTCCCGCTCAACACTCCCCCCGCACCCTGAACCGCTGCCGGCCCTGTTCGCACTGGGCGGGCTGCTTCTCCCCCGCAGGCCCTGGGCGCTGGGCGGGCTGCTTCTCCCCCGCAGGCCCTGGGCCCTGGGTCCCCCCTGAGCCATCAGACCAGCCTCAGCTCCCCAGAGGAAGGCCGGGAGAGGCAGGAGACAGACCCTTCCGGTCAGGGCTGCCCCCTCGCCCCCTCCTCTCCGGCACCGTCCCCCGTCCCCTCACCTAGCAGCCACTGGCGTCTAGGAGCCCTTCTCTGCTGGGTCTGCCCCCCACCCCCCGGCCTGGCTCTTCCCAGCCTTACTCCCTTTGTCTCCCTGCAGGTTGGTCGGTCTCTCTCTCTCCTCTCTCTCTCAGGGGCAATGGATGAGCCCAGGCCCCCGGCTCTGCCCACAGCCTCACAGCCCCTCAGGGGACCCGGCGGTGGGATCCACAGACCAGAGGCACGGCCAGATGGGGCCTCGCAGGCCCAACTGCCTGCCACCTGGGGAGAGCCACCTGGGGAAGGCATCCTTCTGTGACTGGACGTTGGGAATCGGCCAGCAAGAGGACGAGGCCAGGAATCAGCCCTCTGTCCTCGGGCGCCTTCATGGCACCTTGGCTGGCCTCCTGTCTGCTGGAAGCACACTCAAGTGTCACTGGCTGGGGTGACACAGTGGCTGGAATTGGACAGGAGCCGGGGAGTTGATCCTCATGGGGCAGGAGACCTGGGGTTCTCTGTACTAGACTCCCTACCTTGATATATAGTTGAGCTTCCCGTAATAAAAAGTTTATAAAAATAGAGACACAGGTGCATGGCTGGGGAAGGGTCTGCATTAGGTGGGCAGATGAGGTGGCCAGTCAGCAAGGGCACGTGGAACGGGAGGGGCTGCCTGCCCGAGTCCAGCTCTTCGGCCCGAGGTGCCCTCAACCCAAGACTTGCTCTGTGCCAAGCCTGGCGCTCACCCGGCCGCCAGCGCAGGGCCTCGGGCACGACCCATGACTCATCTCCATGCACTGCCCGCTGGCCGGGCGGAGAGGGGACGGCACCACAGGAGTGGTTTGAGGGGCGGGGAAAGCCACCCGCCTCCCTCCTAGACCCCACCTCCTGCCCGCCAGCCCCGCCTGGCTCAGCGGCAGATGCCA